GCAAGAGACTTATTTGCTCAAACACACAAGCAAGGGACTTCCAATGCTCAAACACTTAGTAAGAGACTTCTTACAATCTACCTAATAAATAAATGATGATTGAAAAAAAACATTTGATATACAACAAGAGGTGTATAAATAATACACAACAATTATACACTTTAAGACTTAGGAATTTTTAAGATATATAAGGATAAGAAAACCTAATTTTAGCTTGTGCTTTTTGCTTTGACCGAGTAACTTCTCTTTTGTTGTCAATTATTGTATATATTAGCTTTATTTTCTTCAAGTCCTTTAGCTCCATAAATAGAAAAGAAAAGAGTCATTAAAGATGCACCACAATAGAAACCTTTAAGAAGATTTAAAAAAGACGTTGGAATGTTTCATCAAATTGTCAGGTTAGGTGAAATCTAGTTTGAATAATCTTTGCTACAATATGAATTAGCAGTTGTATCCCAGCAGAATCTATGAAAAAAATAGAGCTTGGGTCTTCACGTGACAAAGTATGTTCAGACATGAACAATGACATATTAGAATCACCTTGGTCCTTGCTCTTTGATTGGCTCAGGTTCTGATCATCAGAAGTAGACTTCTCCAAAGTCTGGTCTTTAGATGCCGACTCCTTTAAACTCTGATCTTCAAACGTTGACCTCTTCAGAAGATGACTTCTTCATAGTCTGGTATTCAGCTTTTAATCCATCAGATTTTGATCATAAGTTTCTCTTTGAATGTTCATAGTCAGAACTGATACTTGGACTCTATATAAAATTTTAGTTTATTGTCCTGCAGACTTGAACAAGCATCAGTATACCCAACTGTTCTTTAAATCTTTGTTATCATCAAAACCTAAGAGATATAGGACAGAGCAATTTTGTTCCAACAATGTCTTACAGGGGCTTTATAGTATCACAAATTTACTCGACCTGACATATCATATGAAATTCAACAAGTTTATCTTCACATGCATGCACCTTGCATGGAACACATGCTTGCTCTCAAGCGCATTTTGCGTTATGTCCAGTGTACAATACAATTTGGATTACATTTATTACCATCCCCTATAACACGACTTATCATCTACACTGACACTAATTGGGGTGGAAGTTCAGACACTAGACGCTCCACATCTGGCTACCGTGTTTTTCTATGTGGCAACCTTATCTCTTAATCTTCCAAACGGAAACTCACTCTCTCTCGTTCTAATGTTTAAGTCGCATAAGAGATGTTGCAAATGATTTGTATAATTCATATTGAATTTGTAATCTTCTTTTGGAGCTCCATTTTCCTATTTCTCATGCCACTTTGGTGTATTGTGACAATGTTAGTGCCATTTATCTTCTTCTGTAATAATATATCATTATTAGTAAGGGTGATCAAAATCAAACCGACCTAATAGAAAACCGTTAGTCGAACTGAGCAAAATCGAAAACCGTAAAAAACTGCATTTGGTTCGGATGTGTTTGGGTCATTTTCTAATAAAAATATGCAGTTCGATTTGGTTTGCGGTTTATATTTTACAAACCGAACAAAACCGCATTATGTTACAAATCATACAAACTATTGTATATTTTATCGTATTCTTTGCATGATATTTGAAATGAATTTGTTTATATATATATATATATATATATATATATATATATATATATATATATATATATATATATATATATATATATATATATATATATATATATATATATATATATATATATATATATATATATATATATATATATATATATATATATATATATATATATATATATATATATATATATATATATATATATATATATATATATATATATATATATATATATATTCGTTTCATTTTTAATTTGTTGATCTGGATAAGATTAAATGAAAAACTTAAAAAGTTTAATTTATGTTACTTTTATATAGAATTTTAAATTTACTTAATAATGCAATTTCATGTATAAAATTGTAATATGCAATTTATATTTATACAATATATTATAATACTTTTTATAACTATAACTTTATTTTATAGAAATGTATGAATGATTAAATATAATTATGTTTTTTTTATATGTGTATGTATGACTCAATAAAAATCTTGTATAAAATAAAACCAACTCAAACCACATTAGTTTGGTTTGGTTTGTTTCTGTTTGATTTCTAAAAGCTAATTGAACCAAACCAAACGGCACTTTTTTTCTCTTGCGGTTTGGATGACTTTTACTGTCAAAATATCGTAAACCGCACTGGCGAACACCCCTAATTATTGATTTCTGATAATTATATTGTATCATTATTAGATTGATGATTAAATGTTACACATTATATATATATATATATATATATATATATATATATATATATATATATATATATATATATATATATATATATATATATATATATATATATATATATATATATATATATATATATATATATATATATATATATATATATATATATATATATATATATATATATATATATATATATATATATATATATATATATATATATATATATATATATATATATATATATATATATAAAAGAAAAATGGAAATACACTATAGTGTAAAATATTTTACAGTGTCAATCAATCATAACCATGTATCAGAATAAAATATATTTTATTTTAAAAATATTGATATTACATAACACACTACTAGAAATACACCTGCGGAAAGAGCTATACCTGCGATTTCACCTGCGCCTTTATATTGTGAAACATTATTTCCTGCGAAAACTAACGTAGCAGAAAATTTCGCAGGAATTTCTGAGACATTAACTACGGTTTTAAATTTAAAAGTAAAAGCAGGAATTGCTGCAAAGTTTGCTGCGGAATTTACTGTAAGATTTTCTGCAACGTTTTCTACGAATTATTTAGTTTATTTTTAGTTTTTATTATGTTTTTACTATTAATAAATAAAATTATAAAACACATATTGATTCCAAGAATATGTTGTTGAGACATTTTTTAATTTTATATTAAATCTTAGTTTTTTTAAGAAAGTTTTATAATATTAATTGAGTTTTTTTAGTTATTTTTTAAAGAAAATTTATTTATTTAATATTTTTTTATTGTTGTAAAAATTAGAAAAATAAAAAATATAAGTTTATGATATAATTGTAAAATATAATTTTATTTATTTAATAATTTTATTTTGTTGTAAAAATTAAAAAAATCAAAAATATAAGTTTATGATATAACTGTAAAAATATAAATTTATTTATTTAATTATATTTTTACTATTATTAAATAAAATTGCAAAATATAATTGACATATTGATTTTTTAGATTTATATATATAATATAAAAAACAAACCTATTTTAAAATAATTTTCACAACATTTTTTTTTTTGCTTTATTCAATAATAATAGTTTTTGTTTAAATTTTGTCAAAAATTATTTTTTATTTATTTTTTAGATTTATTTTCTTTAAGATAATTTTAGTACATATTATTCTTATTTAAGACATTTTTTAAGATTTCATAGTTGTTGCAAATTTTTTTGGAAAAATATTTATAAAATTAGAATGATATTTTTAATCTCTATTTTTAAGATTTCACTATAATTTTTTTTCTTTATTAAATAACTTAGCGAAAGCTTATCAAAAAAAATTTAACGAAAGTTTAAACAAATGTTTTCTAAAAATAATAATATTTTGTTTAAATTTTACCAAGAAATATTTTTTATTCATTTTGTAATTTAGAATTTCAACTTATTTAAAAAAAATAATTTAGTGCATATTAGTCTCATTTTAATTTAGTGCTTTAATATATTCTTATAATTTTAACTTCAATCTTCTTTATACCATACTTAGTAACTCACAAAAAAAATCAAATACAAAAAATTTCCTAGGTCATTCACCAAGTACCCTCAATCCTTTCCCTTCGTTCAATAAAATCAAATACAAAAAAATTCCCCACTCTCACTACCACAGCTTCGCAACTCTCCAGAAATAATTGACACCTCGAAAAAGAACAACAAAGCTTCCAGATCTAGTAAAAGCACCCATTCACCAGCCCAAATTCTTCACTCTTGGAACTCGTACATTATGTTGGTTCTGCTCCATAAAACTAAGTATGTTATGCTTCTTATACCAGCTTGAAAATCGAGGGGCAGTGGAGGAAATTATTTGAAATCTGGAACTTTGGCTCAGCTACGGGGTAACAGAGCTTTAGGTTTTGGATCGGTTGTTGGTTGGGTTTGCAATGATATTGGGAAAAAGGAGATGCCGATTTGATTTCAAAGATGAATGTTCTTGAGGGCAAGGTGTTTGATGAAAGTCCACTACAACAAAAATGACTTTTGGCAACAACTCAAAACCGCAACCTAAAGTGCAATACCGTAGCGTAAGGCTTTAGGGGGCGGTTTATCAGACGTGGAATAAACGGCCGTTGCCTATTCCTTTAAAGCGCGGTTTTTTTATTTATAACCACGGATTCAAAACACCGTCCTCTAAATCATCAAATTCCACGGTTTTAGTTGTAGTTTTAGGCCGCGGTTTTCTAGTAACAACACAAAATAACCGTCCCCAAAACATGAAAATACAACGGTTATAAGAAAACAACAAATGAAAACCGTAGCTAGTTTATAATTTCATTTAAAGAACCGCGCCTAAAACTTAGGAAAAGTCCACGGTTTTTAATTAGCAACCCTTAAAAAGCGTTGCCTATAAATTGAAAAATATTTGGTAAATATTAACTTTAAACTTAAATATATAATTATTAAAAAATTTCCTATTCATTTATATGGTAATACATTTCAACCATAAACCTTCATTTTATTCTAATATAGTATAAGTCAATATTATTAATTAAATGAGAAGAAACATATGTATAAATTAATCAAAACATATAAATATGAAGTATTAATAAGATGAAGTGTAATAAACACTTTGAAATGTAAGAACAAATATTTTCAAAATAAATCCAAACTCTTTGAAATATAATAAACTAATTAGGTGGTTTGTGTAACTCCATAAAACAAAAAATAATTGTCTATATTTGAATCAGTGAAGGTCTTCATCATATTCATTGTACTGAGAATCATGACAATCATCATCTTGAGAACCGTCAACTTGATCATATTGAAGATCGTCATCTTGATCATATTGGAGATCATCATCAAGATCATCATCATCTTGAAGAACGTCATCTTGTTCATCTTGAGGATCATCTTCATTTCTAACCTGTAAATATGAAGAATAGTCAAATTTAAACATTTCTTCCATCATATTAGTAGCAAAATTTGGTAAGAAAATACTAACTAATCCTAGGGGAGAACTCGATATAAGCAACATAAATTAGTATACTAAAGAAATACCAACTCAACGCTTAGTAAAATAAATGCCAATTTTAATTAATATCAATTGTAGTACCTTTTGATGAGCAGGAGCATAGGTTGATATCGATGAGCGTGGTGTTGGAATATTATCATTGTGCAAGGCTTCTCTCATCTTACCGTTTAATTCCTCTTCACTTAAATGTGGATTTTGTTGCATATACATACTTTTCAAAAGTACCTCCATTGCTCCCATCTTTTGTGTCATGTCAGAAATTTTACCATCATATTGCATTTTTATTAAAGAAATTTCTTCATTTTTTTACCATCAACATCTTGAGAATCACGCACAAATACCATACCATTTTTGCACGAACATACTACATCACAAAACATGCTAATTGACATAGCCCTTTTTCTTATTTAATTCAAACTAATACTTAACTAATTTCTTTCCCTAACCAATTCAATAACCACTAACAGTTAGCATCTTAACTAACTAAACTAACCCATTCATTAGCCACTAACAAGAATTTTCCACTAACATTTGACACTCTTAACTAACTGAATTTTCTACTAACCCCTAACATATTTAACACAAAATCTAAACTATTTTTTCACATCAACTTTAATCTAACAGTTTTACAAACCATAACTAACATTTCATTCAAAACAACTCAGTTACAATTCAACTACTAATCCTAACAGTCCAATTCATTAACATCAATAATAACTGTCATCTATTCTAACTACACAAAGTCACTAACTGCCAATTAACCAATTCAACAACTAATTGTTAATGAAATTAACACCTGAGTCATCAATCCCTATTTCCTTCTAACTGTCATAACCTAACAATCTAACTGCACTAATTCAAGCTACTAACAGAAACATAACAGAGTTAGAATTCTAACAACTCTCCTCATGAATCTAACTAACATTAACAGTGCCCTAACTTTCATATCCAACAAAGCAAATTCCTCAATCAAATTAACTAACACAAGCTCTAAACTATTTTTTCACATCAACTTCAATCTAACAGTTTTACTAACCAAAACTAACAATCCTAACAAAATGCTAACAGTTAGCTAACCATAACTATTTTTCAAATGCTATTAACATTCAATTAGCATAACAGTTAACTAACATCTCTAATTCTAACATTTCAACTAACATTTCAATTAGCATAGCAGAGGTTGGCCTTGGTGCTTTGATTTGAATTTGGTAGTTAATGACATTGAACTATTAGTGAGGAATTTGAATTGGTTAGTTGTGTTAGTTAATTGTTATGGAATTTGGTTAATTGTTTAATAGGTGCCATCTAGAACTAACACTCTAACTTATTTCAAACATACTACATCACAAAACATGCTAATTGACATAGCCCTTTTTCTTATTTAATTCAAACTAATACTTAACTAATTTCTTTCCCTAACCAATTCAATAACCACTAACAGTTAGCATCTTAACTAACTAAACTAACCCATTCATTAGCCACTAACAAGAATTTTCCACTAACATTTGACACTCTTAACTAACTGAATTTTCTACTAACCCCTAACATATTTAACACAAAATCTAAACTATTTTTTCACATCAACTTTAATCTAACATTTTTACTAACCATAACTAACATTTCATTCAAAACAACTCAATTACAATTCAACTACTAATCCTAACAGTCCAATTCATTAACATCAATAATAACTGTCATCTATTCTAACTACACAAAGTCACTAACTGCCAATTAACCAATTCAACAACTAATTGTTAATGAAATTAACACCTGAGTCATTAATCCCTATTTCCTTCTAACTGTCATAACCTAACAATCTAACTGCACTAATTCAAGCTACTAACAGAAACATAACAGAGTTAGAATTCTAACAACTCTCCTCATGAATCTAACTAACATTAACAGTGCCCTAACTTTCATCTCCAACAAAGCAAATTCCTCAATCAAATTAACTAACACAACTAACTAACACAACTAACCAATTCAAATTCCTCACTAACAGTTCAATCTCCTAAGACCACAATCAAATTCACATTGAACACTCTGCAATTCTCTAGCTGCTCGCCGAACAACTGTACCGTTACGCAGCCCTCCTCTTAAGAGTTCAATGTCATTAACTACCTCGAGCTACACTTCCAACCAAATTAACATAACTAACCTAATACTTCATTAATATTTCATTTAATATTCTCACATAACTGTCACAGTTTTGAACTCATTAACATTCATATCTAATTCACTATTTGTCAGACTTCAAATTCAATAACCGTCAACTAACAGCGTTAACTCTCTAACTGATTTGCTCATGAATTGAATTAACACTAACAGCTGACCTAACACCTAACTGCTTTGCCTTATCTGCCCAAAAACGGTTATGATTTCCCTCCACCTCAATCTTTATACAACAACAATTCATCTTCAATCTCCTGAGACCATAATCAAATTCACATTGAACAATCAATTCACATTGAACACTCTGCAATTCTCTAGCTGCTCGCCGAACAAACATACCGTTACGCAGCCCTCCTCCCAAGAGTTTTGCAACATGAACATTGTCCACATTCTTTCTGAAACTAAGGTGGATGCAGAGATTTGGTAGGTGAAACACCTTCATCAATACCATTAGGAGTTTTAAAAGGAAATAACAAAGGTCCAATATGGTTTATTTGATAATACTATTTTACTTTGCACTATGCAGGGATTCTATAAGGACTAGTTTGGATATATTATAAAGATTTTATAGAGAAAGGCATTGTCCTCCCGAAGAAGAGAAATTGCATTGTTTCATAGCTGCTCCTAGAGGGTATGCAACGCCGTTTCCTTGGCCTAAGAGTCGCGATTACAAGAGCCTCGCAGTTGAGAAGGCTGTGCAAAATTGGATACAGTATGAAGGGAATGTTTTCAGGTTTCCTGGTGGGGGAACTCAATTTCCTCAGGGTGCTGATGCTTACATTAATCAACTTGCAGCTGTTATTCCATTGGATAATGGGATGGTTAGAACCGCATTAGATACTGGGTGCGGGGTAAGTCAAATCCTACTAAGAAAATATCCTTGTTTTGATATAACAGTTTGTTCAAATGTCTCTATAGCCGCTATTTGACAACATTTAGTACTAAGACATATCACGATTATTTCTGTAAGCTGTCACAACGGAAATGCATGCAAGATAGGAAAAATACCTCAACAAATTTCAATTGGTAATCTAGGCTTCCAATGCTTGGCAACTCGCTCTTCTCTGTTGTATCTATCTAGTTTGGAATAAACCTTATCTCCAATAAGCACAATTAATTAGTGTTCCAGATCTACAAAAGATATTCTCCATAATCATTTAAAAATACACAATAAAAAATGTGATAATATTCTATAATATACCATAGTTATTATTAGTAGATCCCCAAACAAATCAAAGGATTAAAAAAAATACCATTTTTATACCGTCTTTCTGAAGCTTTGCTTTTTCCCCACCTCCACAAGTTGAACCACGATATTACGTACTAATTTTGCAAGCTGCATAAATAACCCAGCTTACTAATATAGGAAATAGAACATTGGACTATGAAACCTTGATAGAAACACATAGTTACCTACACTAATAGTATCAGTAACTAATATATTCAGACAAAATAAGAACATAAAGTAAATAAAGAAAACAAAAGATGTTGAATTTTGTCTAAATCATGATGTTAATTTGCCTTTGCCTACAGTACAAAATATCAAGAAGCTTCCAATTCATTCAAACAAACAATTCCTAGTAACACAGTAAACTAAACATTTAATAGTGTACCTCACTGAAATTTTAAGTGAATCATTTCATCAATTCCACACAATAGAGACTCTTATGATTTGGCCTCTGGTTTATCATTTTCTCTTTTTCCTATAATTTCATTCACTTTCCCTTAATCTATGAGGATAGAGAGAAAACATGAATAACATCAAATGACATCAGAACTTTAGAACTTAGGAATACAACTCATTTCTTCTAACTTAAGACAAAGGAAACCCACAATCTATACCAAACTTACCATTCCCCTTGGAACTGTTCTCCTCATCCTACATACATTCTAGCTCCCATGTTCACCCTCAATTCTCAAATCTACCGACTAATTCATGATATGGCACCAGTCCACATTTTGTTATTTTCACCCGTCCTCCTTCTAACAGACTCTCTCACTTCTGTACCCATTATCATTCTTTATTTTCCTGTATAAGGTGAATACCAATGGCAGAACACTACATAAACTCTAAGAGAAATGCTACCGGCCAAGTTAAATACCAATGGCAGAACACTATATAAACTCTAAGAGAAATGCTACCGCCCAAGTAGAATGAGAAACTTACGTTTGAGAGGTGTAAGGATGAGAGAAGGGAGGACGGTTGCCGGCATGAGGGTGAAAATGTTATAGTTCCTCGCTTGCAGAGAGATGAAAAAGTTAGGGTTTAAACAACCTCCAATTTTTAGAAACTATATGGCGCTATTTTTTGGATGAAAAAATTCAAGTTTTAGAAAAGATTAATTAATTAATAACTTTTGAATTAAAATTAATACAACATGGCCTTATTGTTCTGGTGGTAGAGAGGTTTTACTACGAAGTAAGGGACGCGTGTTCAAGTCTTGGCTTTGCAGTTTTCTTAAATTAATTTTTCAATCATATTTTCAAGTTTGAGTTAGAGCACTTCAAGAACAGGGGTTTGATCCCCACTCTGTACATTTAATTATATGCGAATAATTAATATTAAGTTTATTCCTGCGGTTCTTATATGCTACGCTTATGAAATTGTGGATAGAAGTGAATACGCCACGGTTATACTATAACCACATTTTCAAAACTGTAGCATATAATAAATAAGGGACGGTTTTGAAAAAAAAAGCATCCACACGTAAAAACGCGTAGCCTATGCTACTTATAGGGACGGTCTTACAGTCGTTGTCTATTCCTCCGTTGCCTAAAGTCATTTTTGTTGTAGTGGTCTTGTGATGCTATCCCCTGTGAATTTGGTTAAGAATAGTTTGGTCGGGACACCAAAAACTCCCAGAATTAAAGAGTGGCAGTCGGAATCCAGGCTTGAGTCTCTCCCCACCGAGTTGTTGGTATCAAACATTTATTTGGGAGACAACTAAAATTGTAGGAAAGGAGGGGTAGGAGAAACTCACCCCTTCTACATTTAAATGTTTGATGAAATGTCTCCGTATTTATTATTAACATTTGTTCAATTTTTGTGGTACTTATAATGGATCAGGCATGGAGACCTCTTGAGAAAATATCTTGAGGAAGAAAGC